TTTAGCGGTAGTTTCTAGCAAATTATTGAAAGACCTTAAAAGTGTGTTTTTTAGCTCTATATCCACCATTTCTGTCATGTTTCTTTGTCTCCGCATTATTTATGCTTTCTTGGTGCACCCCCTTGTGGTCTTTGTGCACAGTCTTGCTGTAGTTTGAGTCTGCCCCTTGAGTGTGTTGCTGTGGATGTGTAGAGGTGTAATATGCCATGGTCTGAAGCTCTCCACTAGGTGCACTGGCTCTGGGGCCTCTGGGGAGGTGCAAAGTCAACCACTGCCTGGGGCCACCTGGCATGAACTACAGTGAGATACACAGATGACTTGTATTGGGCTAGGAAGTGCCCAGGTGAGGCCACCCTGTAGAAGCAATGCAGACTGGTGCTAGTGTAGGGTCTTGGGCCTTTTATTGATAGGTGTGATGCCAGCTGCTGCTTGTTTGAGAGATTTTAGGAAATCTGAAGCCTGGGCCAGGACAGGCCATTCATATGAAAAAGCCAGGGGTGGGTTCTCAGGGAATCACCAGGGTGGAACAAACAATATAGGCCATGCTTATATAAACTCACATATGGCTGCCAGTCAGCTCTGTGATGGGGGAGGTTCCAGCACAGGAACAATGACCCCAGCCAGCATCCCTGTAGAAAGCTGCCCATGAGTTTCTGCCCCAATGCCAGACAGTCCAGTTCCTCCCTGTATGTCCCTGGATTCCCCTAAACCTGCTGCCTGGTGCTAGAGCTCAGAGGAAGCAGGACCTTTTAAGTTCGTGGAACATCTGGGACTTCAGCAGCTTCCATGTCACTCAGCCACAATCCTTGCTGGTTTTTACAGCGTGAAGTTACAGGGACTTTTTTTCCAAGCTCTGGAACCCTGGGCTGGGAGTCTCGTGTGGGGCTGCGACCCCCTGCTTCTCAGGGGAGGTATTTGAGACATCCCTCCTGATTAAAAAAATGTCACACTTGGTTGTCAGACCAGTCCATCTTATGCCTCTGCTCTTCCTACTAGTCTCAGTGTGCTTTCTTCTTTATTTCTGTGGTGGTAGAACTTCCTTTCAGCCAGTTTTCAGTCAGTTCTGAATGATGGTGGGTTCTGTATTTTGTTGTAATTTTTTAAAAAAATATATTTTGTTGATTTTTTACAGAGAGGAAGGGAGAGGGACAGAGAGTCAGAAACATGGATGAAAGAGAAACACTGATCAGCTGCCCCCTGCACACTCCCCACAGGGGATGTGCCCGCAACCAAGGTACATGCCCCTGACCGGAATCGAACCTGGGACCCTTGAGTCCGCAGGCCGACGCTCTATCCACTGAGCCAAACCGGTTAGGGCTTGTAATTTTGATGTGGTTGTAGAAAGCAACAAGTACTGGTGTTTACCTACACCTCCATCTTGGTTCTCTCATCATAGTCTGTTCCTGATAATACATTTATGTATGAAATAACCAGAAACTTGGTTTAGACATTATAGGAAAACATCTCTTTAATTTTTTTAAACTGATGTTGAAATAGTATTGAATAAAAATAGTGTGATTAATCTTACTTTTGCTATTCTAGGTTATATATGAACAGGAAGGTGTCTATATTCACTCATCTAGTGGAAAGAGCAATGACCAAGACAGCTTGATTTCAGGAATATTACGTGTTTTGGAGAAGGTATGTTTCCAATAAATGATTTTATTTAATAATCGTTCATGGTAGTGGCTAATCTTTGGGGCATTATCAGCAAGTTTGGATTCCATGTGTAAGATAAAGTTATGTAATCAAACAATAGGTGTAAATTTAACATTAAGTGTTATTAGAAATAAAATACTTTAGAAGGTCAGTAAAATGGCATGGAATACTTAAAAACATTATGTAGAAGTTGCAGTAATACATTTCTTATAATAAAATGTGAGCAGAGTTTTAAAGTCTACATTATATTGGTTGTCCGATAGTAGTTTATATATGATATTGCATATTTAAAGTGCTAATATTTAAGAGGTTAAAATTTTATTTTGGGTTCATGGAATTAAAAATAATGTAAGAATGTAATAATGACTAAGAATGTAAGATATTGCTGAATAGTAAATGTAGTTCATAATTTTCTTCTCTAGGATGCTGAAGTTATAGTGGATTGGAGACCATTGGATGATGCTTTAGATTCTTCGAGTATTCTCTATGCTGGAAAGGTATTTAAGAAAAAAACAAATGGCTCATTTAAAAAAAACATAACAGCTTTATTGAGATATAATTCATATACCATAAAACTCACTCTTTCAAAGTGTAAAATTCAGTGGTTTTTGTAAATTTACAGTTTTGTGCAACCATTGCCAATATTTAATTTTAGAACATTTCATCACTCCCTAAAAAGAAACAACCTTTTATTGGTCACTCCTTAATCCCTCTTCTTCCAGTCCCGGCAACCACTAATCTACTTTGTCTCTGAATTTGCCTGTTGTGGACATTTCCATATAACGTGCGGTCTTTTGTGACTGGCTTCTTTCGTGTAGCATAATGTTTCAAGGTTTATGCATAATATAGTATTTATTGATAATTTTCTTTTCCCCTCTGAATAATACTGCATTTATGGATATACCACATTTTGTTTTTTCATTATTTGATGGACATTTTTCTTTTTAACTTTTAGACTAATATAAATAATGCTGCTATGAACATTCATGTACAAGTTTTTGTGTGAGCATATATTTTCTCTTGGAAACCTAAGTGTAGAATCATTGGGTTTATATGATAATTTGTCTTTAACATTTGTATCATGGTAGGTAGAGATTTACCTCTGTTTTACCTCTATTTCACCTTCACCTTGAAACTCTCGCCCAGCTGTCCACATTTCTTCTCAAAGTATTTAATCATATACATGATCTTCTAATTTCATCTTCATAAAGACATTTCTTCCAGAGTCTCACATGCTTCATTTTGTACTGGTTGCTCTCTGGGTTTTCTTTGCAGCAGTTATCTTGGGGATTCTTTTAGGCTCTTTCCCATATTTTATTCCCTCCCCCCTTTTAAAGAAATCCTATGCTGTTATCTACCTATTTTGGTTTACTGCCTTGTTTTGGGTTTATTCCCAAGTTCCAGTGCTTCCTTAGGGGGAAAAGAAGGTGCATGGGAACAACAAAAACTTTTTTTTTATTCTTATTCTGGATTGGATAGCTTGGCTGGCATAGAAATTTTCCCACATGTTTTTGAAAGTTATCCCAGGTTTGTCTAGTTTTCTTTATTGATGTTTGGTTGAATGCATTCTAATCCCCTATCTTTTGTATGTATTTTTCCTCTTCAGAATCTTTTTTAGGATGTCCTGGTAATGAGCCTTGGTAGTCGTTTTTATTCTTTGTGCTTAGTACTTGTTGGGCTTATTTAATATGGAAACTTGTGTCTTTTATTTCATAGGAAATATTTTTGAGTTATTCCCTCTCCATTTTTCCTTTTCTTTCCTTAGGAAAAACTCTTTAGACCTTCTGGACTGGTCCTGTAATTATTTTTAATACTTTCCTATTTTCTAATTCTTTGTGTATATATGTATACTATATTCTGGCAAATTTCTTCAATTTCATCTTTTAGTTATTGCCATTTTCATTTTTGTTATATTTTTAAAAAATACTTTAAAAAATACGTTTTTATTGATTTCAGAGAGGAAGGGAGGAGAAGAGAGATAGAAACATCAGTGATGAGAGAGAATCATTGAATGGCACCTCCTGCACGTCCTCTACTGGGGATCAAGCCCACAACCCAGGCATGTGCCCTGAACAGAAATTGAACTGTGACATCCTGGTTCATAGGTTGATGCTCAACTACTGAGTCACACAGGCCATGCTATTATAGTTTTAATTTCTAGGAAATTGTGCTGTTTTTTCCTTCCCACTGTTACCAGACAGGGGACCTGGCCCTGAGTGGGTTTGCCTAGGACCAGCCAGTAGTGTGTGGGTTCTTAACTTTTTGCCGGAAAAATTTCACAACACGAGTCCAGATGACTATGCGGGAATGTTTATTAAAGCTGGCACAGTAAAGCAAGCAAGGGATTAGCATAGAAGCAGCAACAGGAAAGCCTAGGCTGGGCTGTCCTAGCCCTCTGGGAAGTAAGCTAAAGGGGACCTTGGAAACAGGTTCAGGGGTTAGCTTAGGATGAGTTTCCGCTGCGCATTGCTCCTCTGGTTGTAAATCTTGTGGTGTCCCTTGGAGTTTAGGAGATGCCTTCCCGTGGTGGAGGAAGAGGGGAAAGGAAATGGTGGGGGCTGCTCCCCAGAGGGAAAGCTGAATCCTTTTCTTACTGCCAGGAATCTTAAGGGAGGTCTTGGGGGGATCTTGTTTTTAGCAGAATAATCATCAGCTTTCTAGATGTGCTCCTTCAGGGTCATGGTCTTCACTGATTGGTCAGTGTCAGGGCAGGGGACATTAGTCATTGCAACTAATCCTGGTGTTGCCCACTTGGTTTTGCTACTTTTCTGGGACTGGAGCTGAAATACGACTGGGGCTTAGATGTTATTTCTAGGGAGGTGACCTTCTGTATCTGCTAAAAATTGCTCTGCCAGGTTATTCAGCTGTCTGTCTCAGTTTCCCTGTTCCACTTATCCTGGCTCACTGGCTTGCCTCACCCTGTTTTTAAACCCAGCATCCTGTTCTTAGTGGATGTAATATCCTTCCTTATTTCTAAGGTGTTTGAGGATAGTTTTTTTTAGATGGTTTCATTTCTATATATAGTCTACTTCCTCTAATTGACTTTTTTTCTTGTTTCATTTGGACTTTGTCTTCTGTATAGACATTTGCCTGAAGTTTGGTGATCTTTGTAGTGCTCATATTTAACAGCACACACAGAAAAGTGACTATACTCTCTCTAGGTGTGAGTAGGTTTGGTAATAGTTGGGACTCAGGATGATCTGGCTATTCCGCTTATGTGAGAATCCTTGGTGTTGAAATTTAGGTCTTTCTCTTGGGTTACTCATTCTTCAGAGAACAGTCTGCAGATTCCTGGCTGGAAAGGGTAAGCCTGGATTTCAGTGTTATGGGAACTGAGAGGAAGAGAGCTAGGAACCTTGCCAACTCTTTGTAGAGATGGACTTTTAGGTAATTCTCCTGTTTTTAGTGTATTATCCCTTTGCTGACTGTGCTTGGTTTCTCCTAATCTAGAGATAAACTTAGCTTTTTTAATGAGTAAACCTCTAGCCTCTGGACTTTTGTTAGTAGTCCTTTTTTTAGCTTGACCTTTGTACTGATTTCCAAAAGTACTTGATGTACCTATTTCAAGCCTTTGTGTGAGGTGAGGGTTCTGTAGATGCTTCTTAGCTTTCTCCACTAGAGATGGTAGAGTTGGTAATGATGGTGGTAAGGACTGCATTCCCCCCCGCCTCCCACACTGCTTTTATTATTTTATTTACTTCTCGTTTTTGTTGTTAATGCTATCCCAAGGATATTTTTCCATTAATATTTAGAAATACAGTGGGGCCTTGACTTACGAGTGTCCCAACTAACGAGTTTTTCGAGATACGAGCCGTCTCTTGGCCGATTTTTTGCTTTGAGTTGCGAGCTAAAATTCGGGTTACGAGCCAGCTTCAGATACCCCACCGCTAGTTGGAGCAGCGAACGTCACAGTGATGCCACAACAGAGTAATTTGAGTTATGAGCTCCGTCACGGAACGAATTAAACTCGTAAGACAAGGCCCCACTGTATTTATTTAACAATTCTGCTCCTTTATTTCTCAGTGTTTTCCTTGAAATGCTCTCCTGGGAGATATGCTGACAGGAACAGTTTCCAAAGCCAAATAAATTTGGGAACTTCTGCACATATTTTTGGAGG